TTTTTACCTTGGCATGTTCTTATTGTGAGCTACCCTCTGATTTTCCGCTTGCCTTGGAGTTCGCGTCCGCCAATCATTTAGGGATGGTTGTACAATCGGTTTACAGCATGTAGCCCTTCCTTTCATTGCGTATTTGTTCACCCTTCGACTGATAGATGGAACAGTCTGTCTTTTTTGACAGTCTGCTACTTTGGAACGCATATGCAAGTACCTGATCGACTGATGATGGCACCGAGTAATGCGAAAGCCTTGTTGGGAATGTAGCTCCGTTCCGATGGTTTCTATTTTTTCCGATCATTTTTATGCGTTGCCAGAAAGAAGGGCCCATAGAGGAGTGGGTTGCTTGCATACCTTTTCTCAACGTCAAATCCCCCTTCGATAAGCTTGTGTAAGGTCCTTAGTTTTATTGGAAAAAGATTGGTGATCAGATGGTGCTTTTGACAGTAAGGGCACATACTAGCTGATGAGGAAGTGAACATTCGAAAACGGATATATAAGGTTTGCTCCCAGCTGTTTTTTTTTATTTACTTAGATTGTTTTTCTGTAGCCATGCATGGTTCGCCGCAGTTTTGCCGTTTGAACGGTCTGTTGTCGTTCTAACTTGCTCATTTCTTCATTTTAAGAGATTGCTTTGTCCTTGAATTTGCTGTACTGATATACCCGAATGCTTAGCCCATTGCGCTTGCTTCTACACTAATAGATGTTTTTAATCATGTTTCATCTGTCCGACGATTTTTAAGTATCGTACGATAGTTGGAACTGTCCATTCGGCCGTCTTGCTAGTGTAGACTCATTTTATTATCGTCCCTTTATGTTGCATGAAGCGCGATCTAACAGAGCTTATGCGGACTGCTGTGGTCACAGCGGACCGCTGCGTCGATGGCGTTGGCTTCCGCCAACTCACCACCCTCAAAGTTGTGCCCGCCGCCGAGTGTTCTTTGGATTGTGCAGTCTCTTGGCCCTCAGCGCACAACAAGAGCGGTCTGCAGAGTTCTCGCATCAGTCCCCAGTGCTCGTCAACCAACAGCTTGCCCTGTTCCACTACCGCTGACCCCTCCGCCTTCTGCAACATTTCACGACCCATCTGTTCTCGGCGACAGTCGGCTCTCCAGTCACAGTTGATGACTACGCCCCTTTTTGACGGAAGCAAGTCGCAGATTAGCCAGCCTGCCCACGCAGTCGGTCTTTTGAGGGTTGAGGGGCTCCTGGACGATGATGTTGGGGAGTTGAGTGCCCTCGCTTCCTACCTCTCACCCAGTCGTGGCGACGTTTCTCTTTGCCGACTTAAATACCTCCCGTCCTCTCACCTTGAGCGGGTTTCGTTCGAAAACCTGCCTTCGCTGGTGCAGAAGTCTCGGTTGATATCCGTTAGATCCCGTGAAGCTGGCAGCGGCGAACGGAACATTGATCCACCCCCACCGCACGTCTCATCACCTGTGGAATTTGAACTGACCAGTGACAAGCTGATTCATTACTCTGTGAGCACACCTCGTAGAACGACGTTACTGTTCGTTGGATGAGTTTGTTCACCGCCTACGAGTTATCTCCCTTGTGTTTGTCGCCGTTGCGTATTACTTTCTTCCTTGTTATGTTTGTCCACTTCTTAGGCGCTTCCCGGTTTTACATTTTTGCTATCCTAGGTATCATGTATCCTCTGGCCAAATGCCCTAATTATCTCATAGTTCGACCTGGAGAAAAATAAATTGAACCATTATACAAAAGCCAAATATTACTGCTTAGTTGAGCTTGATGTTTCCTCCACTTTTGTGGTCGTCGTCTTTTAAACTTTTTGAATTACTTGTGTTTTATACATCCTTTTTGCAGAGTTCGTAACGTCGATTGTCACGGTCGACTAGTCCCTCTGTATGCCAAAGTTTTGTCTCTAAGCTTCCTTGAACGCGATTGCTGAGTTTATGGGTGACCATGAAGTGGAAGAAAGCACTTTGTAAAGCTGTACTCCCGCCTGTCTGTATGCTTTATTGGACAAGTGACCCCCAACAGGATTGGCCAGATCTCTTTTGTGCGACGACCCGTAAGCGCCTAGAAAAATGTCGCTTGAGGGTCTCCCACCACCGATTTTTTTTCGCTGCAGAATAGCAAGGGAGAATTTAAGTAGCCCTTTGCAATTCCGTTCCCGCACCGGCGTTTTTAGCAGTCACCAATTCTGTGGCTGGTTTACAGCTTCCAGCCAGACCAGTTTGCATTTGGTATGCGGGAGCGAGCACACCGTGTCTGTTCATCAATTTTTTCAGTTTTCACCCCTCCCCCATCATCTCGCACTCGCTGCTGTTAGTGAACTGTTTGACTAGCACCAGTAGCCACGATCAATTCAACTTTATCAGATGCGATTCATAAAATCTCTATTTTCACAAGGATCCTTGACGAAACTTTTTTTTAGAAATGCCTTGCTCGAAAGTACATGACGCCTGGGCTTCAAAAGTACATTTCGCGTAGAAAACCTGCCAACGTACCGAATCATTTGGTTCTCATTGCCTCTCCGTAGTATAATCATGTTAACTATGTCTCCAACCAACACCGTCAATCATAGGCTGCCGTGCTGTGCGGATTATTTATAAATAATGTCTAACCAAGTGATGCGAAGCGCCGCCAAGACATAGTTTATCAGGGCCTCATTAGATAGTTTTTCTTTATATATCGGATACTGACTCATCTGGAAGGAGTAAATATCTTATCTACCCCAGCTTTTAGTTGTGCTCTCAAGGCCAAATCCAAATATACTGTGATTTGATAACAACTTTTTCGGAAATTTCTGCATTTCCTTCGCGGATGATGTTCTCAGATACTGAGATCTCTTTTTCTTCTAATTCAAAAAAGACCGGTGCCCTGGTCAAATTAGAGGCAGAATCTTTCAGCTGGGAGAGTGGCATGTACCGATCTATTCTAATTGTAGAATAGAAATGCGCATTTCCGGTTTCTCTTGGAGCTGAGTACCGCCCGCGAAGGTGGTCAAACTGTCGCTAGCAATCATTAATCTGGAGGTTTTTGTCGCACAAACATAGGCGCTGAAATGACGATCTCTAGCTTATGTCTACAGTTAGGCACATGCTATCCCGTGGCTGCAGTCTCGTCGGGCAGTCACGACGTATATGCGCACGTTATTTCCATGTTGTTAAACATTTCCGATTTTAGCCGTTATTTCGTGTGCCCGTCGTACAGCGGCGAGGCTGTTGCGTAATCACTAGCTGACTCAGACGTACAGCCTGAGATTGAGGTGATTTACTGGCCAATGACCGAAAACATAGCCGATCTAGTGTTCCTACCTTTGTCTGTAAGAAGGCCGTTAGTCTGTGCCTGAATATGTTTGCATCAGTTTCCGTATTATTGCCTGGTTTTAATATGAAGCGGACTGATATGTGCGTATTAGTGGGGACATTTGGCTCATCCGCTTCTTAGGCCCCCTTCTGGCCGGCAAATTTCGCCTATCTGCGCACTGCAGTTTCCTGCTCATATTGGTCTGACAAGTGCTTCCTACTTCGCTGTCTTTAATTCGTCCTTTCCTACTTTTGCAATTGTTTCACTTTCGTACTCTCGTTTCCTCTTTTTCTGATTATTCTAGTGTTACCTTTCTGTTCGAGTCAGTTCTTACAGCCTTTTCTTGCGCCGTCTCCTTTTCATCTTTTGTTTACCCCCTCCCCCCATTCCCCTCGTTACGTGTTCAGCGGTATTCTGCCGCACTTTCTTGCATGTTATGCTTTGCCGCGCCCATCTCGCTGCTGGTGGTGACGCTGATTTCCCCTGCCTTCCCAAACCTGTCACTACTTAGACCTTTTCTGTGGTTTCTTCCTAGTCTGCTGTCGACGTGGAGGCCCTTTCGATACACATTTCGCACCCGCCGAACACCAGCACAGCCCCCGTAGGCATTTTGAAGTCGGGGCAGGGTTCGCCTGAGACTGCCCACACAAGCCCCCTGCACTCAACACACCGTGCGTCTGCTGAACTCCTGCCTTTCAGGGTGAAGCGACAGCTCTTTGAACAGTCCGCCTTTGCCTCCTCCTCGCCCTAATACCCGATTACGCCCACCTCTCGTGTCGATGGTTCATCGCCTTAAGCCCATCTTATTGAGCAGGTACGTTAGTATCAACTCCCTGCCCCCTCCACCCATCTCGCATTCCCCCTCCTCACCTTTTTGTCTCTTCTGACTTCATGTGTCAAAGAGTTCCGAGCCGTTTGATACCAACCAACACGTCATTTGGTGATGGCCGCGTGTTCCGCATCTGTAATGTAGTCTCACGCGTCGACTCTCAAGGGTTGTTATGCCTGATGCATCTATTCTAGATCAATGCCTAACACCGCCCTGCGTATTTAAATTCCTCATTCTACCTCTGTGATGAATGCTCGCCGTTTTGTAGGTTGTGCGAACTGCCAATACTGTTGAAGCACTGAGAAAATTTATCTTAGTCCGTAGCCGTTGCTACTAGGTCAGTGAGCATGATGGTAAGAGCTTATCAGCAAGGTGTTGATAAAAG